TTACAACATGCAGTCTTTGTGAATGCACTACTGGAAGAGCCTCCCCCTCACACCATGTGGTTTGAGGGAGTTATGCAACTTCACAATGCTGGTTCGTGGGTTTTGAAATGTGGGGAGCAAAGATAGTAACATTGAAGTAAATGGATAAGTAGGATGCGAGACTGTCTTCCTGCCCACCATTGCACACACACTTCTTAGGCCATGCATCTTGGAAAATCATTTTTGAAAGTGTACTGGATGGAAACAAATTTAAAGGGTTGAATGAATAAAAAAATTGCAGTACATAAGCACACCAAATTTCTAATACAAATGTCTTTGTTAGCATTAGTGTCCACACCAGGTGGCCCTGGCCAGGATGCTATGGATCTTTGGTGCCGTTTGAACTTCAAGTTTTGGGTAAAGTCAATGGCTTTTGTAAAGGGCACGTTCAAAAACAACTTTACAAAAGCTAAAGCTTTTGAGATTGGTTCAGCTTTTACCAGAACTAGGTTTTCATCACGCCCATTACAGACGCAGACCATATGTACAAAAGCTTTACAAATAGGTTGGACGGAGGAGTTAAATAAAAATGACATAATTACCGCATAGGCCCGTCCTCCAGCCACACAGATATCCAAACGTGGAACTGAAAAAAAAGACGGCAGCCACCTTTTAGTAACAAGGTTAGGAGTAAACGAGCTAATATTGCCAAAGTTTTATGCACAGGATAGAACTTAAAATACAGAATTCCCTACCACCCATTCACTTTAGTTCTCCTCAGCTTCCCTTTCTCCATAAAAAGCCTACATTTCTGGCTCAGTCCTTATGCGAGTGGGGCAGAGTCCAATCTGCTCCTCCTTCCAGAACCCAACAGGAGAGTTTGGGCTTTGGTGTGGAAACTCTGTATCCCCCTTCAAGACGGGTTGTGCCTTTCACTGGGCTCTTGGTTAAGTAAAAAACACATTTAGTACTTAAAGGTGCCATCTTACATCTCACTATTCAACTAGTTGAAAACAAAGTCAAGGGAATATATTAAAACATTTCATAAAGTAACATTCCTGGCGAATAAATTATGCATGTAGTAACCAAGCCAAGGGGGTGATCAATTAAAATTAATCACAGCATTGCAAGGGGTTCCCTCCACCCCTTTCAAAAACTTTGCGGCGGAAGGCTAATGTCGTAAGGAGATTCAAGCACAATTGATAAAAGGAGAACCTGGCAAAGCATTCGTGTTCGTTTATGGGAGTGGCCATAGGTGGCAGCATTGCCATGGTAGACGTGCCTGTGGACGTAGGTGGCGAGGTCTGCGTAGACGTAGGCGGTGGGGTCACAGTGGACGTGGCAGCGGTTGTAGGCGGTGGGGTCACTGTAGACGTGGCAGTGGATGTAGGCGGTGGGGTCACGGTGGACGTGGCAGTGGATGTAGGCGGTGGGATCACTGTAGACGTGGCAGTGGATGTAGGCGGTGGGGTCACAGTGGACGTGGCAGCGGTTGTAGGCGGTGGGGTCACTGTAGACGTGGCAGTGGATGTAGGTGGTGGGGTCACTGTGGACGTGGCAGCAGTTGTAGGCGGTGGGGTCACTGTAGACGTGGCAGTGGATGTAGGCGGTGGGGTCACTGTGGACGTGGCAGCAGTTGTAGGCGGTGGGGTCACTGTAGACGTGGTAGTAGATGTAGGCGGTGGGGTCACGGTGGACGTGGCAGCGGTTGTAGGCGGTGGGGTCACGGTGGACGTGGCAGTGGATGTAGGCGGTGGGGTCACTGTAGACGTGGCAGCGGTTGTAGGCGGTGGGGTCACGGTGGACGTGGCAGTGGATGTAGGCGGTGGGGTCACGGTGGACGTGGCAGCGGTTGTAGGCGGTGGGGTCACGGTGGACGTGGCAGTGGATGTAGGCGGTGGGGTCACGGTGGACGTGGCAGTGGATGTAGGCGGTGGGGTCACTGTAGACGTGGCAGCGGTTGTAGGCGGTGGGGTCACGGTGGACGTGGCAGTGGATGTAGGCGGTGGGGTCACTGTAGACGTGGCAGCGGTTGTAGGCGGTGGGGTCACGGTGGACGTGGCAGTGGATGTAGGCGGTGGGGTCACTGTAGACGTGGCAGCGGTTGTAGGCGGTGGGGTCACAGTGGACGTGGCAGCGGTTGTAGGCGGTGGGGTCACGGTGGACGTGGCAGTGGATGTAGGCGGTGGGGTCACTGTAGACGTGGCAGCGGTTGTAGGCGGTGGGGTCACAGTGGACGTGGCAGCGGTTGTAGGCGGTGGGGTCACGGTGGACGTGGCAGCGGTTGTAGGCGGTGGGGTCACGGTGGACGTGGCAGCGGTTGTAGGCGGTGGGGTCACGGTGGACGTGGCAGTGGATGTAGGCGGTGGGGTCACGGTGGACGTGGCAGCGGATGTAGGCGGTGGAGTCATAGTAGATGTGGCAGTGGATGTAGGCAGTGGGGTCACTGTAGACGTGGCAGCGGTTGTAGGCAGTGGGGTCACGGTAGACGTAGGTGGTGACGTCTCTGTAGATGAGGCAGTGGATGCCAATGAAGTTGAAGGCATTGTGGTTGTACCTATGGTTGACAGAGGCACAATACATCATGTTTCCCCAACGTCACCACAATACTTCCAGGTGCAAAGGCAGTTTTGTTGCGTTCATCACGGCAAAACTCCGACCATAGCATGTACATTATTTTATAGCCCACCCCCCCCCGTGAAAACAAGTTGGATAAGGAAGAGGTTTGTTTACAAAGTTCATAACCAACAAGACCTTGAAGAACACAAATCAACCCTTGGGTGATATAAATGCGCAGCATAAAGTTCTGCTATGAAAAGGATGCACTTACTGATTTCAGGAATGCACGAACCATTGCAACGTATGTTTCCTTCAGGACAATAGCAGCCTTCTTCATGTTGTATGGTAGAAACGACACTGCTGCAGAATCAGAAAACCGAAAATGTAATGAGGACAGGTATTTGGAAAGGTTTGTGTTCCAAGTTTGGGGGAGGGGGGATAAATTACCCGTTGGAGCACGACTTCACAATTTTCGGACCTTGTGGCATATACTGTCCGTTAGTGCAGTTGTAGCCTAAAAACCAAGAGGATCACAAATGTGAAGCAAAAAGGGTGTATTAAAAAGGTGTTCATAATATACAATTAACAATGCTTTTGCAAAACAAATATTAAAACATTGCTGGGCCAGAGGCAGATGGCACACTAGCATTATGTTAAAACTGAGCCGACAATATTTTGCATTCAAGATTAATGATCAATTACTACTCATGATCGAAATAATGAATATTACCACAAGTTCCATTGGTGGCATTGCGCCAGTCAACGTTGTAGCCCAGTTGGGCACACTTTTCTGCTGCTGCTTGAATACTGGCACAACCAGCCTGTGAGGAATTCACTAGGCACAGATCATACTCGCACGTGAACAGGAACTCTTGCAGGCTCACCACCTTCGAACAATTTGAAAACATGCTGCAGAGAGAAACAGGGAGGTGAAAACAGCCTTGAAAATCCATTTCCTAAAAAGCAATTCCAATGCAAGCTTGTACAAGGGATAGCGCGCAGAGGTTTGGGAAGACCTAATTAGGAGTTGCGTGAACAATGGCTTGAATAATTAATGGCCCCTCAGAAGTTCCACTGGTAACAATTGATTTTTTAGCACATGCTGTGTAAAGAAAACAAGTGTACATGCATCATTACAACTAATCTGAATATTATGCAGCTAAATTGTAGGAGGGCTGCAAGCGTCGTGTTACCCACGATTTGGTTCTGGAGAAGACTTCAAAATGGACGTAGTGGAAAATAAGCAAGTTTGGGAAAAGGTACATTTCATGGACAAATTGTGTGTGTGGGGGGGGGGGGGGGGGGGGCGGAGATATGCACAAGTCATTGAAAAGCATAACTATATAGGACATGCAGTGCAATTCAGACGACTTGGATCCATTACGTGCTGTTGATGGCGCCGCACACCGACATGTTCATGTTGCACGGAGGCGGCGTAGTCGAGGGTGTGCAGCTCTGGTTCTTGCTGGAGTTGAACATCGAGGGGCAGTGAGGCTTGGTAACATCAGGTATGACCCAGCTCGAAGCAGTGCTAGGGCAGCACGATGTAGGCTCTGCGGTGCCATTCCGCCAGGCACAATCATCGTTGGGGATGTTGTTGCAAATGCCTGGATGTAAAAGGCATAAACATTGTGCATGCATAATGCTATTCTCCTCCTTAATTTGCGGCTGACAACAGGACACGCATTGTTAATGTCTGTAGTGACTGGATGGTTATGTACTTATATTACTAGTATTAGTTGAATTGATTAAAAGGAGGCGAAGGCATCAGTCAGAGCTTTAAGGCACCCATATAAAGCATTATTTTACATATACTTTCTGTAAATGTAAATAACTGGTTGTAGAAATTTAATGACGCATGTTATTTCACCTGTTCAAGTTTGGCATTCTATTATCTAAAACCAAGTTAAGGATGGGCGCAAGTTTACATTGTCATCTACTTTGGATGCAGATTAAAAACCAATCGACAGTGGAAAACGGCACTTAAAGGCCGCAAGTGTGTAACAGATTTAGGAGATCCATGGCTTGGCATGACAACTTACCACATTGCCCTTGGGTGTTGTTTTTGAATAAATCATACGGCAAGTAGATTGAGAACATATCTCCAGTGAATGAGATGGTTGCATCTATGGCAGGGATGGTCACCTTCACCAGAATTCCACTGGAGGTAATGTCAATTCCATTCGATGACAAGGGTGGCGTCACAAGTACGTTGTTGTAGTATACCTTCAGAGCAATTGCGTAATCATTATAGCAAACAGCTATTAGCAGCGTCAACTGTACATACAATTAAACAAGGATACGTTAAATTTTACATATGGACTTCGTACAAGTGTTAATTCTAGAGCCAGGTGCGTATTAGTGTAGCGCCAAATGAAGCTGTTTGCAAGCAAGTCAACAGGTCAGACCTTGGTCACAATTCCTCATGCTCCCACACTTGGTTGTCAAAGTAAATGCAAGTGTCAATTGGTAATCAGAAGAAATTGTACCGTGATGATGTTCTGCCTTCTCCCCAGAGTGGCTGGGATGCTCATGTTGACAGCGTTCCCATTGTAGTTGACAACGAGGCCCCTGACAAAAGAGGCTGGGTTTCCACGGTTGAATTGATAGTTGTCGAGAAGGATTGTAAGGTTATGTTGCTTAACCCTCTCCTCCACCAGGATGTAAGTGCAGTCCTCCAGGAAGGTGTACCGAACACCATCAAATGTGATGTAATGGGGGTCTCCCCATCCCTGGCATTTGCCTTTTTGCAATTCCAGACAGAAAAAAAGCCCATTAAAAAGAAACGTCATGTCAAATAGACTACATGTCAGCATGGTTCTTTACCATTTGGAATGGATCCACTAGCACAAATGCTCATTGTGGACTATCATGCGTGGTGAAAAGATTGCCTCACTTGGCGGTGGAAAAGAGATGTACTTTGGAAAAAGGCAGCTACGCAACAGCATTGGTCATGTTAGATTATAGCGCTTATAAACAGGTGCAACGCTGGAGGAATGTTAGCACACTTTTCCTTAACCTTCAGTATAAATAAGGTACAGGTTAAAGTAGCAGGGTGTGGGGGAGTCATCGCATGCATATTTGGCAAATGTATAAGAAGGCCAAAAACTAAAGTAATTTTAGGTGGGGGTTCTAGAAATGTAACTACATCTAAAAAAGATGCAACAGGAAGCAGTTTTGCAGTTGACAAAGACGTGCCAGATTGAACAAAAACAGGAGACCTAGCTAACAGGTTGCTGGTGGTGTTCAACCTAATAGAGCAGTGTGCATAAAGCAGCATATACTCACATTGGCACTGCCATGTGCAGCAACCATCGCTGTCAGAAACACTGCGTACAAAGACACAGTTGGGCTTTGTGGACTCGCTGCAAGTCTTCATAGTGTAGGTGACGTTGTTGTCGATACAAGTGGCATTCTTACAGTTGCTCACTTTCCAAGTCTCCATATGCTGGTGAAAGGATATGTGATGTATAAATTAGGACCAGCATTAAAAAGGGTTATGTAATGAAAGGCCATGTTGTGGGGAGGGGGAACCATTCCAAAAAGATGCTTTAAAGTATGCATTGTACAAGTTGAATGTTAGAAGCATGGTGCATTTTGAATGTCAGGCTCAAAACCCACTGCCACAGACTAAGGCACGTGAATGGATGAAAGTTAGTGTTTTTAATACTATAGTATCTCATCGGGAAATATTGTAGAAATGGGTCCCGCATGCCACGTACCTAGTAGCATGTCTATTTTGTATGGCAGTGCTACAATCATTTTAAGGCAGCTTACATTTGCATGCAAATAATACAAATGGCAGTACAGATGTGCAAGACTGATAATCGAGGCCAACTGGCTTTTAAAGGAGTCAGGAAATAAACTGGGTGGGGAAATTAAGTGTTCATCCATTAAAGTAAGCATCTACCGTATAAAGTGCACCTACCATTAAAGTGTCCTAATACATCTTCTTGGTTCTTTCGGTAAAGCCCGTGACGTCGCACAGCTAATACAGGTAGGAACAATGTGCCACACTGCCCACCACGGATTTTTTGTCTGTCCGACTGTCGTGCATAAATATATATAATATAAACAGCTTTGATTGGTGGAGACCTACTGCCGGCTATGGAGGGAGGAGGATCAGAGGAGGGGCTTAAGGAAAGGGGGGGGGGCAGCGGAGGGGCCGATAGTTAAGGGGGCTGGCTACCTGAAGTAAAGTTCTCTTGTATACAGGCAGGAACAGGTTCCACACTGCCCACCAGGGATTATTCGTCTGTCGTGAACGAATGTGCTGCCCAACCAAGTTCCTACCTGCCCACTCCGAAGGAACGTGTTTAATGCAACTGCAGAGAGAAGCATGGTTTTATAAAGAGCAATCCCATTAATTTAAGCCATCCCAGTTACCTGCCGTGGAGGGACAAGGGAATAGCACCCACTCCCTGTGGTGAACGCAGTCGATGATGGGGACGTTGCTGTCGTTGAACATAGGACAGGAGGAAAGCCAGGTTAAGTGCCAGCTTGGGTCATTTTATAAAATTTGCATCAACTGGCCAGATATGTTTGGCCCTTTGCACTGCATCAAGGCTAATTTTATACAAAGCATGATTTTCAAAACCCAAAAGGAAATACCCAGCTACGTGCATATGAAAGAAAACCATATGCTTGAAGGTAAACTTTTAGGATACGAAATGTGCCTGGATAAAAACCAGAACCGCTGAAAATAACCACCATTTAAGTTGACATGTATTATGGCATTAAAATGCATTCCATCACAACTATTGTATAAAGAACATCTCGCAATGTACATAGCCAACCGTGTTAAGTGTGGCGTTGCACTTGTTCAAATGGAGCAAAGCACCGGATTATTTGGGCCAGTCCACACGTTCTGCATGTGTTCATAGCTACCTTGCACATGGGACAAGTATTTTTGAACTCCACTTGAATAGCCAATGTATTTTCATTGTCAAGTACACCGAATTTTCGATGCTATACGTTACGTAAAAGCACCACACATTTAAAAACCTCAAATTAGTTCATTACATATTCCTGTTCAAGGCAGCTGTGATCAAGGATCTTCTCATTGGGCTGGTTTTAGGGCAATGAACGGCCATGTCAGAAGTTAAATTGTTACCTGTGATGGTGGGAGTCGTGGACGGACACCTGGTGTAACTGCCAATCACGCCGGCGTCGGTACATATGCCCGTGACGTTGCACAGCGAATCGAGATCGGTGTTGGTATAGACGATGTCACCTGGCTTGTATTGGTGCCCATTGTAGACACAGCAGACTACATGCAGGACAATCCATGGTATTATAACTTCACAATTAAAAATCGAAATGATCAAGTAACGTTAGGGTGTTGTAATTAAGAGTTGCTTTTAACGATGTGCATTTGTAATCACGTGATCATTTGTCGTACAAATGTATTGCCATCACTACATCGTGCAGTTTAATGATTGTATACCCTGGAAACCACATTGTTAATAAACGTTATCACTAATATATACTCACCATCGGCTGTAGCACAGTGAAGCTGTCCCATGGTACAGTTGCTGAAATAAATTAAATTGTTAAAGTTATTGTAAATAAATGAGCAAAGCAGTTGCAAGATACCAGTTTGGGAGGCACTGGTCAGTAAAGGAAATGCATCTTTGGGAGGACATCGCTAGCAGTGCTGAAAGTAGATGGACAAGACTGGCAGTTCCAATGGAAGAGGGAATGAGGTCAAGACAGGTGGCGCAAAGGAATAAACGTGTGGCACGAGAGCTTTGAGGTCATTGTTGGGAAGTCATGCAGCAGTATATAGATCAGAGATGTAAATGACAAGCGGTCAGACTTATCTTCAGGTCGAGTTGCACTGTACACAGCATGGTAAGAAGGGATGCTTACCATATCTGGCACGTGTCCCTGCTCACGAAAGTATCACCAGGAAGGACTATCGTGTCATTTAGCTCACAGCTGCAGTTCTCCCTTGACACGCAGTGCAAGGTGCGTTCATCCAGGTATGTAGCATTTGAACATTTAGGGTAGCAGCCTGTAATGCAAGACAACGTTATTTGATCAAGGTTGTATACGTTGGTGAAATGTACCATATTACCAGATGCAAAATAAGCTCTTCATTAGCACTATTTGTAATTAAAATCTACTAGCCCATTAACTGCAGAGACCAGCCGAGAGCATCAAGTTGCAATACCATGGCCAAAACCGAATTTTACATAATACTGTAGTTTGCACTGCACGCAGCCGTCCATTAAAAACGAGGGGGGTAGAACCAAAAAGCATTTTCCCTGCCCATTATCTATAAGTGTAGAGCGCTAACAGCTTCCTAATAAAATCGCAATCAAGAAATCCTAGACGGCTGTTGACGTATCCGAAAACTCACGATACGCAGTTAGCCAAAAGTCGCTGTTTATAAGCAGTAACCGATGACCGAGGTGGCGTGATTGTTTATGCTCGAGATCAGAAAGGTATTGTGGCAAGCACTCGCGTAAACGAGTGCTACTTCATGTATTTATTTTAGCAGTGGTAGTCGTGTGAAAGTTACAGGACAGTTTTGAACGAGGCAATCACATCTGTAGTATGCGGCTTAAAAACACTTCCTTTCCCATGCAAACATATTGGAGGCAACCGATTTTTACCCAAGGTTGTACACCAACTTGCTATTCTGGACCAGGGACTAGTCCGGGCCTGAAGCCAGCAAGTGGGTGGTAAAGTCAAGACCATGCTAAAATATTAAATGCATAATTAAATCAAGAATGTTCAAGTCGAATCTATTTCATATAATGGAGGTGCAATGTCTAGACCTGGATGAGGTACCAAACAAAACTGGTTCGGTCAATTGAAAAGCCTGTGCATGTACCTTCAAGCCTTGGGAAGTCACCCAGGTTGATGCCTTCTGGATCGCCACAAGTTTTGGTGTTGACAGTCCCACATGGATGGTAGTGCCAGGTGCATGTGTTGGGGTCATTATAGAAGTCACAGAAAATAGCTGGCAAAAAAAAACCAAAGGGAAGAAATTCGGGGTGTCATGTTGGAGCTGAATAGACTTAAAGTTGGGTAAACCATTTCTAAAAAATTTGGACTACCCCATATGAATCTTTTAACGCGAAATGCGTTTCAAAACAGCATTGTTAGGTCAGAAGTTACTTCACTTTCCCAGAAGTGCATGAGCCAAGGGTGTTGGGGAGCATACACCAAGACCGTGCACAGTTTCAGGTATTCCAGTAAACCTGCATGAAGTTACTGGAGGCTTGCCAAAGGTGAATTGTAGACATTGGCCATGGTTTGTGGCCAACCCCTTGAATATCCATGGGAGGTTCGCCATTAGAATACAGGGTCAACCCAAATATTTATGAAAGATCAGTCTATGGACTCTGGCTTGTTGTCTAGCAGCTTTGTCCAAGCAGGAAAAACGCACCACATAGAGGCACATTTGAGTGACAAAATGGAGATTCTAGGTCGTGCGTGTATTTTTCAGGCACTCACGGCACAAGTCTGGGGTCCTCCAATAGATGCACAGGCCAACCTCATTGCATGCCTCTGCATAGGCAGCCACTACCGTGCAGAAGAGCTCGCACTCCAAGCCAGTGTCGCATGCACACGAGTCACGTACACAGGCCTCGTAGTATGGCATGTAGTCCACCTTCCCCACCACCACAAGGGTGGCATGAAAGCCAGACATTAACACGAGGTAAACATTTCACTTTGCAAGGCGCTTGTGTAAAAGGTCATCTGTAGTTTATACTAGCAAAATTTCAAGTCAACTTTAGGCACACACAATTGCATTTTTGGGGACAAAGGCTGCAGAGGAATACAACCAATGTTGCAAAGAATAAATTGGTATTAGGTATAATGGACTTCACCCTCAACTCAGAAATTGCACAAGTCGAGCAACCACGCTGCAATCAGTAAGTAAAGCATACCTCTCCGTGGCACGATGCAAATACCCCACTGCTGAGGAGGCTACACTGCTGTTCAGCAGACGCCTTACGGTTAAAGTTCAGCACACAAGGAGGGACTTCCTCGACCATATTCGAGCACGTCTCGTCAGCCTTCCAGCTGTTCCCAAACTGAAGCGCATTAGCTGACACCGAGTGGTCCCGCATGGTGAAGTCGTCAGACACATCTCCGTTGTACTTTCCACAAAGGCCACACAGCTCATCCTAAGAGGAGATCAATGTCGTCGCATTAGACTACAGTGAAAAAAATCCCAGCAGACCCATGACAAGCATTTGACAGTGTATGTTAGCACATTTTTGGACACAATGTGCACAGAAACTAAGCTTTTTGTACGGACGTACAAGCCTGAGGTGCATGTGTAACTACTGTATTTGTATGCCCAAGTTACGAATGAGTGCATGTCTCAATTGCAAGATAAAGGGCATCGTGAAGACCATCTTCCTAAAATAGAGGCATATACAGAAATGGAGAAAAGAGTTGGTAATTACAGAAATATTTATGGCTCACCTTCCTGTCTGGAGTGACCTTAATGAACAGGGTTGTCTTGCGGTCCCATACTAGTTTTATTCCATTTGAAGCATCGACAATTAGGTACAGCCCAACAGAATACACCCTAAATCTGTGTGTGCTGCTAATACTCCTGGTACTGGACCTGGGAGAGAATGAATAGGTCCCATCTGCCAATTTTATTTCTTGGTCCTGGGAATAGAAAACCACATTATAAATTTCAGAAGCAAGAATTAGGCAACTTTAATGCGATTTGAATTACGAGTGCACAGGTCTTGCCTGCAGGAAGAATCTTATGGATTTGGAGCAAGTGGATAAGGTACTGCGACATAGTACGTTCTTCATGGTGATCTGGAACGTTCCATTTTGTGGACTGGTGCCACAGTAGTCCTAAGAAACAAAAGTTGATGTGAACATGTTAAATAAATATAAAAAGATGTGTGGGTCTCATCATAAATGGAGACTAAAGTTACATACCTGCGCCACTACGTATTCACAGGAGTATCCATTAAACAAGAAACTCTTTCCATCAAATGTGGTGTAATGGCCATTTCCAAATGTCTTGCAGACAGCTGCACAATAGTTCTTGGTGCAGTTCCAGAAACCATTGGAACAGTTGCTGAAATGCAAATGGCACAAGGCATTATGTAGTATGAACAATTATTTACTCACAAATGCCCAACCAAGTCGAAAGGGAGAAGCCTGCATTGTTCATTGGAGGTTTAGTATTTGGGAACTGAAGAATTCTACAGGATAGTTGCCATTATCTACCCTCGGCCAGAGTTAATAACCTCAGTGAATTCATCCATTAGATTACAAAACAGGCTTAGCATCTACACAATAGCCAGGTGCCCATTTAGGCAGGCATTTTCCAAGATTCATTGTGGGTTTATGAGTAAAGGTTAAAAAGGGTTGGAATTTCCAAGTGCACCAAGGAAAAACTGGTGCATTTAAATAAGGCGTGCACCACTACAAATCTAAAGAATTATCCTGTTGTAGACTATGCAACCAAACTTGGTCACTATTGGGGGAGGTATTCACAACACCTAACAAAGGCAAAATGCTCATTCAACAACTTTAAAACCCGAGGTGAATTTGTCCTTAATACAGCTCATTTTGCCAAGAATGTCAAGCATGCAAACCATCTCGTGGCTTTTAGTCCCACTGTCAAAGCCATGAATAATCTTACCAATTGTTGCAATCAACTTGGATCGAATCCCCAGGTGCATATGTAATGCCGTTGTGCTGGCACGGGCAAAAACGAGGTAGGACACAGGTGCCATTGCGATTCCTCACAAGGTTCTTTGGACAAACGCAGCCTGGATAGCACCGTACACCGAGCTGGACATGGGTATGCAAACAACAAAAATCGGGTTTAATATTCAGCACTTCAACTATACTAGCTTTTATACAAAAGTGGAATTCTTGTTAAAGATATTGGTGGTCTTTTCATACCAGTCAAATGACACCACTACTAAGGTTAGGTCCAAAATGGCTACGATTAAGAAAGTCCAGAAGGTTAGGTCACCGAATTTAATATTTGGGGGAAAAAAAATGGCAGAGCTTAGTGCACTGCAAAATTCTGCAACCCAGTTGCTGGGCTTATAATGTGCAGTGGAATACACACACGTCTCTAGAGATTTAAGACTTAAAATGAATACCTCGGAACAAAGTGCCGACAACAGCAATGGGTAACCCACGTGGCCCCCCCTTATGGCAACAACCCTTAAAATGTGGACTCACGTGCCTCCCCCACAAAAGACTGCACTTCTGTTTAGGTCCTCCGAATCAAGTCTTTCCAGGAAAGATGTTGCAGTGCCATACTATCCAAAAAGCTGGCAAAGGTCTGAAAGGTCGGTTTTTGTTCATGTGTAAAAAGGATATTTAAATGGCCACTGAAGGACGAAACACCTGCAGTAGCAAGGGCTGCCAAATTAAAAACAAACGGTTGAAACAAGCAGAGTACTTCTAGGCCACAAATAAATAATTTGGGCACAGACTTACACATGGGGGTTCCTGCAACTCGCAGGTTCTCTCACAAGCCTTCCCATAAACACCACTGTGGCTGTTGATGCAGTCGGTATAAACCATTGGGGGATTACATTCTGTTGAGAAAAAGGAGAATTAAAACGCCATGAATTTGATCATGAAAAAGCAAATGGCAGCAAATCATGAGCCCATTTTATTCTATTCTCACTCCATGAAAAAGGGAGCAAAAACCAATTAACATGAAAGTGTTAGTATTTATAAAAACGCAAGGTTATACAAAAGTCTATTTCAACAGCCAACAATTAACTGGGGTTGTGGGAAACGCCCCTCAGGTTGAAAGCCTCAAAATGGCTTGAAGAGCCTTTGTTAATCTACAAATTATTGAAGGGCTGCAAAATGCTGCACACTTCTGGTAAGATTTACGATAGCCCATACCTGGGTAATCTTGGCAGCGCAGTACTCCATTCTTACAATAACTGAAATGGAGGAATGTTTAGGTTAAGCATATAATCTTCTTGTTTCTTTCGGTAAAGTCACGTAGAAGGGAAGTAATAAAATAATAAAAATAAAACATAATAAAACAATTCTCACGACGTTTCGGCTACAACGCAAGCAGCCGTCTTCAGGTGAAGAATGAGACACTACCAAACTAGGAGCTTATATATAAGCTGCATTGGGGGTTGAAGAGCGCCTTAACAAAAAGAATGTGCATGTGAAGAGGGATTTAGCATATTCATGGAAAATGCGTAGGCGTTGGGCGGGGGGGTGTCAAAGTCATATTATGCCCATGCATTATGCAGGATCAGCAGCAACCAAGGGGGGTGCAGGGATTAGCAGTAACAAAGGAAAGGAATGTTAATGATATGTAGCTGCAGTTACTCAACAACACCGTAGAAAACTAAAGTATAAACTACATAAAAAACTAAAGTATAAACTGCATCGCACCATCAGTATACTTACTATACTCTATAATAAGCTGAGTTACTAACAGCAAGTAATACATTACAATTTTACCTCGTAAAATTCTATAATATGCTTCCATCTAAACCTTATTCTCTTACATCACACGAGCATATACCGTACTATATACTGCCATAGATAAACCCAACATTAAATTATATACTGTATTGCTGTAAACCAACCTATATCTTATATACTGTATTGCTGTAAACCAACCTATATCTTATACATAAATGTATAAGATATAGGTTGGTTTACAGCAATACAGTATATAATTTAATGTTGGGTTTATCTATGGCAGTATATAGTACGGTATATGCTCGTGTGATGTAAGAGAATAAGGTTTAGATGGAAGCATATTATAGAATTTTTACGAGGTAAAATTGTAATGTATTACTTGCTGTTAGTAACTCAGCTTATTATAGAGTATAGTAAGTATACTGATGGTGCGATGCAGTTTATACTTTAGTTTTTTATGTAGTTTATACTTTAGTTTTCTACGGTGTTGTTGAGTAACTGCAGCTACATATCATTAACATTCCTTTCCTTTGTTACTGCTAATCCCTGCACCCCCCTTGGTTGCTGCTGATCCTGCATAATGCATGGGCATAATATGACTTTGACACCCCCCCGCCCAACGCCTACGCATTTTCCATGAATATGCTAAATCCCTCTTCACATGCACATTCTTTTTGTTAAGGCGCTCTTCAACCCCCAATGCAGCTTATATATAAGCTCCTAGTTTGGTAGTGTCTCATTCTTCACCTGAAGACGGCTGCTTGCGTTGTAGCCGAAACGTCGTGAGAATTGTTTTATTATGTTTTATTTTTATTATTTTATTACTTCCCTTCTACGTGACTTTACCGAAAGAAACAAGAAGATGAATCCCTGCAGTCACGAAAGCTTTAAATCGAAAATTAAGCATATAAATTAACATTTGCATCAACGTCAAATTATAGCCCATATAAAAATGTCAGCGACACATTCTCCAGTGTATTGCCTGTGCCAATTCACATTGACGTATTGCAGGCCATAGCTAGGTTTGCTTGCAGGATGTTATGGCAATCTTAATGTATGCCCATGGCAATTTGTAGACGTTTCAAATTAATAATAATGTTCTTGGCATATGTATCTTAGGAATCAAATCCAGCCACCCAAAAATCGGAGTTATGAACCCTGGAGGACAAAGCTTAAAATGGCGTTTCCCCTTGAAGTGATGCCCAATAATCACTATAGGGGTCTGATAATAGAAAATGGAATCGTCCACGGCACATCCCGAATATAAACAAATAGACTGCAGTACAAGCAGGGCTGTTCGAGTAAAGGGTAGTTACGTGGCACCGACACCAGTGCACTACACACAGGGAGCATTTTAGACCGCAAATTGTTTGCGAAATTGCTGAAATGTACAAATTGAACACCGCCTATATTACACCTTCAATTACGTACACAAGCTAATTTTCATGAAGGACATGGACCCAAGGTGAAAGCAACGTTACATGAACAATCTATCAATTTGAAAAGATGGTCTAACGAGAACATTTTTAAAGCCACAATGTACAGTACAAAAAGGTCAAGCTCTTTGACGATGGTAATGTATATGTTCTTGCATACATTTTACATAAATGCATGGAGCTTTTGCCCGACTACATGAGCTGCGTCGTAGAGCAGCAAGGATAAAGAATTCAGAATTATAGAGTAGTGGTGTAACCTTCAGTTGTACCAGCATGGGACTACAGGCAGTTGATTCAGTACAGCAATTACTCGCTTAACGTGGAAGAAAACCACATTAAAACTAGGCATTACTGACCATGTACAGACATTGCAGAGTTGCTGACGAAAGGCCATTATGCTTATGATGCATTTAGTTGCCATAATCACGTGACATCTTGGGAGAAGTTTGCGCACGTGCCTCAAGCCAACCATTAAAAATGCCTAATTGTGACGTAGAAAAATGCTAATCTCTGGCAGCAGAAGACTTGGGTCATATACCATTGAAAAATACATTTTAAACTTGAGGCCCCGTTTTGAAAAGGTCTTGCTGGGATTTAACCAACCATTACGGGTCTGTCTTCCCATAAGATGCCACTCATTCCCATGCCATAGCCACTGCAGTCCTTCCAAATCTTGGTTCAGAACTTTAAAATCATTAAAATAAAAATGAAAGTACATGCTTCATTTGGTGCAGGGCAAGAACATTATGGTCGTCGACAGTAGGAAAATGGTTAAGCTTTGTACATACCAAGAAAGACCATTTATGTAGACAAATGCACCTGGTTGAATCTTCTCGCCATTCAGGAAACAGGGACAGCTAGCCACAGAAATACATTTCCCTTGGTCGTCTGCATACAGCCCCCTAGGGCACTGGCAACCTTCCACAGGCACATCAGTCACGGTGCATGCCACATCTCGGTTGCTCAGAGAGCGGCATGTTCGTTTACAGCCATCACCGGCGTAACTAAACAACTGGTTCTGTAGACACTCCACCAGTGAATCTGAAAGAAAAAGTCAGTCATTTTATTAGTCGTTTAAAGGCAATAGCGTTAAGATGTCAAATAAAAAGCAGGCAAGTCATGATATTTTTATGTAAATGGACGAATTGCGAAATTCATAGCAGACTTGACAATAAAAATATGGACTACAACTGGCCTGCCGATCGTTGCCGACTTTAACAGGGAAGTGCAAAAAAGCTGTTGTTGTAACCCTTGGAATTGCCAGGATAACACCAATTCAAAATGTGAATTCATGCATTGCATTAGAATGGAGACTAAAGGTTCAGGAATTGCATGGACTGGCTCAGAATGAGGCATCTCAAAATCAATGCAAAATCCTGGGTCTTATCAAAGTGCGCGCGTGGCAATATTAAGGCCTGATTATTAGTGTATGTTCTGCTAGTCACCATAAAGTCAATTCAAGCATTTTCAAATAATTGGAGGTTGCACCAAGCAGAATGCTATTCATTTCGAATGAAATAGAAAATGGTGGGCAACTGTCCATGCGATTAGGTTGAGAAGCTGGTCAATTGTAGAACCCTTCATCTACCCTCAATATTCCAGATTTTTTTTTTATTGGAAGCAATATTCTTGGACCCCCCAAATGGTAGTTTTGAGTACAGCATTACCAGTGGCTTCCCTCCATCCACGCAGCACACGGCCTTTGGATGCACAGGCACGGGCATAGGCAAACTGAGTCTCCGTCACACAATCCTGGCCTGCTGGGCAGCTGCACGCATCTGATATGCACCTCTGACCACACGGTAAAGGACGTAAAGCTGCAATTACTGTACTTGCCCATACTATTACAGAGGGAATGGGACCTCCCGGAGCAGTAGAGCCCCTTTCTCAGGCAGTCATCTTTTAGTCTAATTTCTCCAATGGCCAGACATGCAAGGCGAGACTATTCCTTAAATGAATTGAACCCGTCGTACTCATTTATGAAATAGGTGGACAAGAGGATTTGAAAAATTTACCCATTACAAATCGCCACGGTATTGAGATGAAATTATGGATCTTTAGAGCCAGGACCACTACGTGTATTTTGAGACCTCAACCTGAAGATGAAGCTTGCCAGAAACTTCTGGATTGCCACCATTTAAAGCAAAGGTATGTATTACTTGCAATTAATACGTGCATGCATTTTTTTAAAATGAAGGTCATTTAAAAAAGTATTACCTTGTAGTATCTGTAGGGGTCTAGCAGATCATGGCACTCGGCAAAGATTCCAGGTGCTCGTAAAAAGGAACATTTGTGCTCGGCGCTTTCCGCTGGTGAAATAGAACGTGCAAATGTCCTTACAATTAACGATGGTTACTATAGGTGGTACACAAAGCAAACACTGAAACCATTTGGCTATATATTTTTGAATAAAGGTTTAGGAAAATTAAGGCAGATTCTGGAACTCTGCAATTAACCATTTGAGAAACCGATGGACATCAGGGTAAAAAATGGTGCATCATGCAAATTCCTATTTGCCCTGGGTTTGTATCCAAGCCTTGGGGGGATCCAAGTTTGGCCAGTTAATTTCAAAGCCAAAAACGCCCAATTCTAAGGCACCTTTATTATACCAAGGTTATGCACATTACATCTTCAATAATACGTGGTCCTCCTGTTAATGAACGCTAGAGTATTTCTTTCACACAGCCATACAAAACAGGAAGGAATTGAAAAGGTGTAAACTACCTAAGGCCATGTTGAGTAGGCATGGATCTTGAACCATTGTATCAATGTCCTCACAATCAGAGCTTGCCTTCCAGGAATTGGCAAACACAACAGCTGTGCCTTCCACCAGCCCCTGGCTGGACATGAAGTCATCCGTAGCAACTCCATTGAAGTTTCCACACAGCCCTGTTACACATTTGGTGCAGATAATAAAAAGGTAAGTTTTATGCAGTGGTGCAATTTATGCTAATATTATTTCAAGAAGCATTCTTACATTTGTGAAAGACCTGCACAAGATTACCTTTTGTCTGGCCCCTAAATGCTTCAGGCAGTGTGATATACACTTGCATGCTGGGAGAGATCTGCACCTGCATTTTCAGGCCAAATGACGTGAACACTTGTAGGAACATTGAAGAAGTCTTATAAATGGTGATTTTGCCTGCAACATTGGAATAAACATTAGCACAACATTACAAATTTCCCAAGAGCCAAAAAGATGCAAAATACCATAGTTCACTGGTATAGCATTTTCATTTACCGGACTCGTAAGGCAGCGGGACAATCATTTTAGAGGACAGGATGTCACCATTGCTTTTGAATTCATAGGATATCTGGGAATGAAAGATAACATTAGTTTCAGAGGCATAGCGGGTGCAAATGCAGTTACCTTCTGGTTGATAGGCTATGCCTATTAAGGGGATGCAACCAAACATGAAAAGCACCATTTAAAAAAAAGCCATCTCGATTGTTTGAATTTGCCATACGAGAACCACGAGAAGATTGAAACCATAAACAGTTCAAAATTGATTTTAAATAGCAGGCGCCATTAGCAAGCCTTTGTTGAAGTCCCTTAACAAGACCAGCAGGTGGCCACTGCAAGCTATTGGCACCTAGAATTAGCACACTGCATGCCTTTAACGTCATGTTATTTAGGCAACACGAATACTTTTTAACGGTGTAGCGTGTTGTACATACCGATTGAGACGTCAGAGTTACGCTCTTCAAGCAAGCTCTTTCTACTGGAAATGATGAACATGGTCGGAGTAGAACTTCAATTACCCAATCAGCGCTCTGGCAAGGCAAATTAAGTCCATTAGAAACTGCACAAATCATGTGCAAGTGCTTGCATCACTGCAAAATGGCCACCATGGACAGGCATGTCAAGAATTAGCAGAATATTTTGGCCGATGGCAAGAACAATGCAAAGCTTATATTACAAAGAATTTAGGAAGCTGCCGCAAATTTCACAAGCCGAATTAGGTCGGCTTGTTATAACAATATCCTTGATCACCAAGGTGAGGGAGGCGTGTGAGCATACGAAGGAATATTTAGGTGAAAGAACCGTTGTGAGAAGTCTTAGCTGTACCATTTATAAGCAAAAGGTGCACATAACAGACCATTTAACGAATTAAAAAGTTCCCATGTGCAAGATGGAGGACTTGGCATGCTCGTTACTGGAGGGAGTCAATTATTTTCCACAACTCAATTTGATATATATATATCTTTTAATCCAACACTAAACTTGCACAAATGTATTATTTTAGTAGACACTGCAGTCGCATAAAATATCTAGGACCTTAACAAATGCTAAACAATTCAAGTTTTACTTGGTGGAAACTTTACAATTTCAGATTAGATAAGCAACAACTTTTCCACAGCAACTGCCTAGGAAGTCAATTTAGGCTGGTGAAAACTGAAGGCGTTTACTTCGAATGAGCACGTGGAATTGTTATTTTGGAAAAGGATTGTTCTTGCCAACCCTTGTGCAAATGCTCAACAGCAAGAATTCGTGCAACAGCAGTACCATGGAAAGGTAGTAATAGCAGTTTCCATTGAAGCTGAAAGACTTGTGGTCAAACGTGATGAAGTTGGAGCCACCCTCCAGGGAGCAACCATCAGCACACGGCACGGCATCGCAGCTCCATTGACCAGCCTTGCACACACTGCAATAAGAATTGCCATGAGTTTTGTTTAAACAAAGTGTTGGCATAGTGCATGCCATCTCATTAGGTTTACAAAACGCTAGACTAATTAAGATTCCGAACGTTTTCCCTGTCAGCAAGTACTTGGTTTAAAAACTAGGTGTAGTATACCACAAAAAAAGGCACGATAAAGGATGTTAACGCACCAGCTTCGACAACCTTGTTGAGAAATGGCACCAGGGCTGTACGCGTCTCCATTCAGAGTGCAGTTGCACTCGCTCAGCAACACGCAGGTAGTCCCATTGCTCACGTTTAGCACAGAGCCTGCAAAACAAGGAGAGGTTTAAATCGTAACATGTCACCATTAGGACACCAAACAGTGAATCAAGAAGCTAAAATAATAAGCAGTCCATGGAGACATGGGAAGATTTTAGGTTGCAGTTGAGCAGCTAAAATTTAACCCGTAAAAACAAAGTTTTTCACTATAAATCCTTTATATGCGTGGCGGCTACAGTCCTCTCGTCCTCTGGCTTGAGATGGCTGCCACCTATGGGTCAGATGATTGCCTGCCACCATCAAGCAATTGGTAATTAAATATAAAAAAAAATTCCTAAAAAGTGTAAAGTTATGGGAAAAAAATTCACGAAAATAGTGTCACGCACAACGAGTCTGTGTGCAAAATGTCAGGTCGATTGGATCACGGGAAGTGGGTTAAAAAACGACCGAAAGATTTGCACGGTCGTAAGCAAGCACGCAAGCAAGTGAACTTAATATAAAGGATTTAAAAAGGATCCATATCCGACCAGGGAAGGCGCTCACCGTCTTGTTGCAAACCAAGTGGCAAGGGAATTTGATAAAAGGGTGGGGTTAAAGATCAGACTTTTGATTTTACATGGTTGAACAGAAAAGTGTTGACATTTGGAAAAACTAAAAGTCAAGCCATTTGTATGCAACCAAAAACAAACCACGTTTCATGGATAGATCCTTTTAAATAAAGTTGCAGCAATTCAAGTAGAAAACCATACAGAAAGATGTCCGTTTTATCAGCTCTTGAACATAAAACCAATAATAGAAAAGTTGCTACCAGCAAGCATTTGAAACCGTATAGCAAATTGAGAAAGATGCCAATGTCTACCATAACCCAACCACATGCGTTTCACTGTAAAAAAAAATATATATATATAATTGAATCATAATTTTAATATTGCAGGCTCATGGCTCACCAGGTGGACAAAAACAGCCAGGTACACAACCCTGGCACATGGGCTGGAAGGGGTTGGCACAGGTCTGTGGGCAGGTGGAGCCACACTCCTCGTATACAAGGTCACCAGGACAATCCTGGGGAGCTTTGGGCACAAAAGACAAGGCAGTGTGCAGTTTTTTCCCCATCTGCTGTTGGCCTCCTCAACAAGGCCAAGGGCTTAAAATGACTTTCACTTACTATAAAATTGTATCTACATAATTACACCTTTCCATACTTACGTGTAATCTTGTTTGTATTTTAAGATTGTTTAATACGGCTAATTAACATTTTACATTCGCATTTTATAAGGTCTACTTATTCATAATTTTAAAGATTTTAGCCCTTTGGTATTACTTATACTTTGTAACGTTAGTATAGTTAGAGTGTATACCTTTTATATAAGTTAAGATTCCTACTTGTTCAATGTATGCACCGTCCCTGCCATAGTGAATTCCTTGTTTGTGCAAACTTACACGGCGATTAAAACCGTTTCTGATTCTGATTAGTCATAAGCAGTAGATGGCATGTCAAAACCAGAATGCTATACAGGCTTTACGTCCAGGTTCGCTCTTGCAGCATTAAATTTGAATAGGCCAAAGTTGAGACTTGAATACAAATAGGTCATGTTGTTATATGTATCATAAGAGGTTAAATATGCTCATGACTTAGCGTGGGGGGTGAATGATACTAATACATGATTGGCATTTCTCACTGGTTATTTATCTGAAGGTACTATAGACTCCCCCCCCCCCCCCCTCCCAGGAACGTTTACGTACCACAGAGGTTCGACGTGCGCCAGGAGGCCAAAGTGGCACCTCCGATGATGCACTCGAGTGAGAAGGCGGTGAGCGAGGGGCAGCCACACATGGTTTGGTTTTCGCAATGACACTGCTCGTGCATGCACATAGCCACGAAGCCAGATGCAGGCACGTCACATGGACCCATGCGCTGTATCGCCAAACTGCAGGTGCGCCCCATCTTTGGGAGGCAAAGGGATGATAAAAGGGAGTACTCTAAATAATCTTCCATCCAAAAAGGTCCATAGGACAAAAAAGTTAAGCAAAACTTTGTTTGAAAAGATTGCATTACAAAGTACAATAGGTTCACCCAATTTCCATGCTGTATGATTAAAAGCCACCAATGTAAATTCTCCCAATTTGGGGGGGGTCAGGGTAAACTTGCCGACTTACCCAAGGTTCGGAACACACTGGGCCACTCTTCACCTCACACTCCTGATTCAGTCTCTGTGGGTACGCGTATGCCAGCAACTCCATATTCTCTGCACACGGAAGCATTGCATTTGCACTGTAAACCTTCAATATACATTAGCCATGCTGCCCCCATGCAGTGGATTAACCACAGCCGACTGCTTCTTTCAGGTGCAAGTTCAGTGTTCAAACATGAAAGTGCCATTATGTGCAGTAGATATGAAATTGGATATTTGAATATTACCATAATTAGCACTCAGCTCTTTTTGACCATCAAAGTTTCCGCAAAGGCCACACATGCCATCACGAGCACCTCTGCCAACCACCACCTAAGGCACATGGTCGGTCAGTTCACAACAGAAATGGAGCAAAAGATCGTGAAAATGAATGCCAGGGGTGCCACTTAAAAAAAGGTGTTTCAGAACCGTCACAAAACCATCACGTACCAACAAGACGTCTTGGGCCCAGATAATCGTTATACCAGGATTGCGTAGGGTGATCTTGAGTCCCATCCCAAACCGAGTGATGCGTAGCCGAGTGTTGCTGTATGGCACCACCACACTGGCAAAGTATAACACCGATATGGAAACATTTTAAAGCTCAAGTACATGAGTGTATGGCGCTGCATGGTTCGAATTCCTCCAATCAGGAAAATATACATGCAAGCACAAACATTACAAAAATGGAGTTAAAAGGAACAAAGTTCCAGGATAGTTACAAGACTAAAAAGATCGCACGATGTTTTATGCAGGACAATTACACCAAACCGCATACTTTGCCATTGGCAGCCTGAGCCCAGCAACCTTAATTCTGTATTATTCAATGTGTCAACTTCCCCTCCTCACCTTTGTTGTCCAAGCGATAAGATTCCATCAGAGATCTTCACCACATCAGATTCGGTTTGGATCAAAATGCTAAGGTAGGCCCCATTGACGCGCGTTATCACAACGTTGAACTCCTGGAATGGTGACCGGCAATCTCGGGCTAGTGTATAAGAGCAGTTGGACTTCAGTTGAAAGAAGGAGCCATCAAAGGTCTTCACAAAGCCATCTCCCCACGTGCTGCACACACCCACTGAAACCAGACATGCGTCGTATAGTACAGCAAATCTGAAAGTGTTTTAAAATTCCAATCAGATCCCAATTTAGCCATAGTTGTCCCGTCACTTGTAGCAAAAATTACCGAATTGGGTAAAACTGTCATTGGTTGGGACTGCCCTGCACACGAGTCGATCCTGTCAATAAATTATTCATTTTCTGAAACGATCACTTAGTATCCCTTAGTCGGGGATAGGGATAAAAAAGGCAAGACCAGTTAACAGATCGCCACCCTTAACCTTGTCACCATGTTGTACATCAAACGTAATTTACAGGTTATTCTAGGCTAGTTCAATGTGGTCATTTCAAATTAATTGTTAAACCTTAAAAAGGATTTGCCACAAAATAATCAGAATATTAAATAAAGCAACGTACGACTAGGTGCATGTCGAGGACATCAATAAAATGAAACAGCAAGTTATAAAAACAATTGTTACACGGCTTTAATGCATTCAGGAAGAGTTGGGATGGCTATGGCATCTAGGACAGCAGGCAGGGTAGCAATAGGTGCCACCCCAATGAAGACAAGAGCAGCAGAGATGGTAGCCAGCTAAATGGAAAATTTGAGGTTGGTGTCAAGTGCACAACAGGATCTAGTAAATGCAGATGAGGTTTGGCAGCAGCAGCAGCTTTGGCGAGCAGCATCTTGAAACTTGGTCAATTCGTGCAAACAAATCTTGGCATTGCATGTAATGTGCAAAACTCACCACTAGGAAGCACAGGGTCAGGGGGCTTTGAAGTGATCACGAGCGCTACTGGGTTACACAAATAAAAGTAATTTAGAATTACACTTAAAAAAATTGAATCCACAAAGAGATAATTTTCAGCCATGTGAAACCAAGACAATTATTCTTTCACTGTAGCCATGCAGTGAGACTTAAAAGCACACATAAAAAACGCAGATTCACAAGAGTGTGTTAGAGCACACACACGCGTCAAATCCACCACCACCCGACAGCCAATTAGTAAGGCGTGTCACGTGAACAGAACACGGCAATGTTACTAGTCAAGTACTGTTGAAGAGAAAAATCACAGCATTCACAGAGTAGGACGTGTCGCCAGTAATTACAACTAGCATCAGGCAACAGCCAGATTTGTAGAAACATCTTCCTGTTGACCGTCACGTGCCAAGAGGTGGAGGGGGATTAAGGCATGCATATACAGTACAATAGCCATCCATATGGTGAACCAACTCCTTGTTCTTGTACCTCCTATCGTTTGCGTGCAACAATAGCAGTACCTGTGATTGTCGGTGTATAGGCAATTCCCATTGAGGTATGGCGACCTGTATTTTAGGCATGCATTTAAACCAGAGGATTCGCTTCCAAGCAGCACCAATCCTGTAGCTATCCAATTTATCTTAATTTAAATATATTCTCCAATTAGTCTTGGCGAGTTAGTTTCAGAACTTTAACATTAGCAAAATCAATAGTGTATTTTTTGGCACGCGTGTTCCGCCACTGCCAACAGTTGTATTTGGGAGTATTTAAACATTACTGGTGTTATTTTAGTCTCGTGCCGATCATTCGTCCTGTGTGCCCAACATAGAATTTGCCACAAGTGCAGCAATGCGGTATACACCTTCTGTAATAAATCTTTAGAACCAAATTAGTTTGCATTTTATGTACAGTGTCATATAGGACTCCCAACGTTTTGCTTTTCAAAAAAATAGGGGCTAATTTCAGTTACTTCCGCAATGTATGGTATCAAGAGTTTGTTACTTGGTCAGTTTCAACTCTCGTGTTATTGGATTTTGGCATTCAGTGCATCATTGTAACTGTTCAATTAGTGCCGTTTTAAAAATTTCTTGAATTTAAACTTATCAGACCATCACCATCTTTATTAGCCCAGTGTAGGAGCGTCTTGAGGGTATTTCTGTGCGGGGTTATGGTGAGACTCTGAGGCATCAATGTGCATTCTTTCAGTAAGCTGTCTATTTTACGATTTCGGCCGCACCAGAGCATTTACGCGATCAAACCAAATAAATAAAACCTATTTCAATGGATATTGGTTACAAATGCCTACATATAAAAGACGACTTGTGAATATGGTAACATATCAATTATGCGCCATGAAACACCCACCAACTATGAGCCCAATGTACAAGTCTACATTAACACAAATCCGAGTATAACGTTAAAAAAAACAATTTGCAGAGAACACTGCAATGGCAAGCATTACAAAATGATGTTGGCCATAGATCTAACTCCGTTGCTTGGCTCGTATTACCCAAACTTATGCTTTACATTGTATCATACGTGCAGCAATCCTTTTCGACATTCGGCTATTGGAGGAAGTTCTTCCCAAACTCTGCATGTTGCTTGGCAATTTCAAAAACCAAAACACGTGTTGGTCAAGGCAAAGAGCACAGTACAAAAACAGAACTAGAGATTTGGCTGCAATCTATTGCCCACCTACCACGATCTATATAGTAGTACAATAACTATTAGGAATGAATGAGAAGTACGTTATATAAAAAAAACTGCTATAGGTTATGGCTTTTCAAAATACATGAAATAAAACTACTTGCATTAGTTTTAAAATAATAACTTTACCACATTTTAGGTTCCATAGCTGGTAGTCTCTTTTGCAACTCCGTACATAAAAAAAACTTAATAAATATTGAAAAAGCGGCATTGCAACTTAAACACTTATTTACATAAACTACTACACTTTCGCTTACCTGCGCAAAACAGGCCACACAGCCCTGACCAAACAGCCTTCATCGTATCCACAATTCAGGGGACGGGATACGATGTCAGCGCTTATGCCATACCTATTTATATTAAAGGCTTGCGTGCTGATTGCCAATTACCAATTAGACCAGTGCCTGGGAGTGAAATTACCTTGTGCCTTATCAATAACATTTATAATATCATTGTCCATTGGCTTGCACGTTTTTCGCATGCCCTACTGTCATGTAAATTAGTCTCGTTTATATTAATTCATGGATGAGGGGTAGTGGGTACACTATACAGTAAACATGGAACGTTGGGCTAAAGTTCAATCAATGTTGGCCCAATGGATCCCACCACTTGCCAATGTTGCATTTTTACTGGGTAATTGTGAGCCGTGTTAACGATGCACCCCATCCTCGGCGATTTTGTTTAGAATTTTAGGACCGCGATTCGAATGACGAATTTACTTTTGTTTCTCTTTATTTTTGCGTTTCGTTTGTATCGTGTCTCGTTTATGAAGATGTGACGTTGGTAAGGTTTTGGTCATTACCTTGGCCCGGGTGCATATACATATTATCAACTCAATTGAACTAAATAAGTTGCAGACATTGAAAAACGTCCATTATAATAGACGGTTCTCCCACGTTATCTGGCGATACAAGAATCAATATTAATCAATGAACTGAGATGCATATCTAAACCTGCACGCGTTTTTTTTTTCATATCGTTAGCGTAACTGCCCGCAGAATGTCGGCACTTCATTTCAATAATTGGCTCTGCGCAGCTAAACTTAATTCCAAATACATTGTCTGCATTTCTTGCAGCTGACAGGACAGGTATTTAAAAAAAACCGCATCGGTTACATTTAGCTCGTACCGACGTACGGGTAGAGTACTTATGATGGCACCCAATCATTGTAAAGGTGTCCAATGTGAGTCCATGGTTGATAATATCGCATTGTGCTGATTACAATTATTTACAGAATCGCAATACTT